TACAGAAAATTAGAACTCTTTGTTCAGATGTGGTTTAAAAAAAGTAAATCTTTGCTAAAACATGTGAAGGAAAACTAGAAAACTGCATTCAAACAAGATATATTTTTTAAAAGGTCAGGTTTCCTCMAACTTGACAAAAGGCCGAAATGTTAGAGAAGTGAGAAGCTCCACTTCACTTGTAAAAACTTCCACATCCAGTTTACCTGAAAACTAAACAGGTTAAAACCTTTAAAGGCTGTTTTATAATAATATAAGATCACAAACGATGAATAGTTTGTAAGATTGGCTTCGGCTAAAAAAGGTTGGGAAATAGTTGTTTTCCCAGTCATGTCCTCCACTGTAATTACTGTTGCAATTGTTGGGGTCGATGCGAAGCCAGGAGGTGGAGCAAATGGCAGTTTAAAGGATGAAGAGGTTCATCAGGACTTTTTAAAATAAAGAACAAAGCACGCTCATTACAGCAGCTGAAAGAGGAAACGAGGAGCGACGTGGTTAATCTCGTCATTGTTGTTGTATTACAACAAAGTGATAAGAAACAAACACTTCCCGTCACATGATCCACACCAACCCCATCATCATTATATGAAACCCTCCTTTTACACTTCAACAAATTATTCAAATGTTTTCCTATCTACACTTGTTTAAACCTTGACGAGTTTCTCTCCACTGTTATAAAGATGAGTAAAAACATGAAAGTCACACAGGAAGTTGTCGGTCAGCTTCCTCTCTGAGGTTTCTTTGGACATGAACCCATAAGCAGGAAGTARCACCTGTGTGGTGATGTGAAGCTCAAACCTCTGACTCCTCCTGAAGGAGGARCACATCAAGGAGGAGGAGGTGGAGGGGGTCAGTGCAGCACAGAGCCAGGCAGGAGGGGAGGGTGACTGGGACWTTTTATTCCCAGCAGGATGAGGACATGTCCCTCACCGCTGGGGATGTGAAAGGTCAGCTAGCTGTGGGAGGTGGTTTAATCTTTAATGAATGATGACTGAGTTCTCTTTCAAAGGTTGGATTCACACTCAGGTTCTGAACCAAAACTAAACTCTGACTCTTTCTTCTTGGATTTCCTTTATAGATGTGCATTTCCACAGCCATCACTCTCAAGATGAAAAAATCCTCTTTGGCTAAACATGTTGAACACATGAACTTCAAGATAAAACATCCTGACAATTTCACATCTCCATCATGGACATCATAATCAACAAAGCATGAGAATTCATCCAAAAGCTTCAACATGTTCCCTGGAACACAGATCTGTCTCTACAGTCTGTTTCTACAGGACTAAAAACTGAGGCTTTCATTGAAATAAAAGGCTGAACCCCAATTCCTCTCAGTTCTTCTCCTCTCACTATGGGAACCATAGGGCCTCCTGGGATCAGATTCCCAGAAAGGAATAAAAAAAAGTCTTGACTGTATTTGTTTGTTTGTCCTTAGAGCAGTTTTTCTCCCGCTGTGTGTGCTTCTTGGCAGCTTTTCACTGACACACACACACAGCATCCCGTCATAAAAATGCCAGCCAGCTCATTGAGGAGCATGTTTGTCTGGAGCATTCTGGGAATCTGTGTTAAGCTTTCCCTCCCGTTGAACCCCAGAGACCCTGAGAGGAAGTCAAAGAATGGTTGCAGTCAAAGAAAAGTCTGAAAACCTGGMCTAGAAAAAGGAATCACAACTATTACACAACTTTTGGAAGTTATGTGAAGAGGGGCCGGTGTGACGACATAAACCAGGTTATTCAACCTGTTTGAAATGTTACCAAGAGGCTGTTGGGTCGCATTTTTTGTTCGTTCCAGTTATATTTACATTTAGGTGATTAATTAGTTTGACCTATCATATTGCTGTTGCCTACATAAAGCTTTTGCTGATGCACCTTTCATAAATGGTAATTTTTATATATTTGGTCAAACTGATGCTAATCTTGAGCATGAGAACAGTTTGATCCATGAATACAGGGACCTTTATTTGGAGCARGGATAGTCAGGTTGTTTTGGTTGTTGTGTCGTCGTTGGCTGGTGCGGGTGCAGAAAGTCTAAACTGCAGCCGTCCATAGCGTGCATGGGTGATGTCACACCGCTGCAGGGGGTTCCAAAAACCTGCACTCTGAAGCCTGGATAGAGGTTCAGTTTCAAAGAAAACTAGCACTGCTGTYRTGTACACACTTTTGCAACAGTAAAATTCAAGCATTTTCAAGGATTTCAAGCACCCGTACGAACCCTGTGTACACAAATTGAGCCCCAGCCGTGATGCTACAATTGTGCAAACCCGGCCTAAATGTTCCCTAACAGCAGAATATATTGATGGCATCTTGAGCTCGGAACGTGTGGTGGACAAGAGAGTCCCTTACTTTAGTTCTGCACTAGGGTTTGGCAATATTGGCAAAAAATTAATCACGATTAATTGGGGTGAGAATTAATTAGAGAATATTAATTAGCTGAGAATTATTAATTTGACGACCTTATGTCCTATCCACATAACCAATTTATTGGGAAAGATTTGCTCTTCGTAAAAATCTGTTCCAAATTGTGTCAAAATTACAGAGTTCCAGGCTATACATCAAATTTTAAATTGTGTTGATAGATACATTACAGAACTTTTTTTTAATGTTCGTCATATTTGAAGAGGAGAGGAGCACCGAGTGGACTCTGCCTGGTGGCATTAATCGTATTATTCATCAAGTGCCAAAAMATAATGGATTAATGTTTTTCTGACGATTAATTGAACACGGTACAATTATGTCCAACCCTATTCTTCACATGAAGTTTCTGCATGTGTCTGGGTTTAAAACAGTGCTGGGTTCAGCTCAATGTATGTGTGCCAAACTGGAAAACTCAGAGCAAAAAATGACCTGGATAACCAGATCGTTATGTCACAGGTGATGTTCCTTTGTGTTTGTRTCTTAAGAGGTGTGTTGTCTAAATGGTGTTTTGTGTGAAGATGAGGTTTTGTTCAAACGTTCAGGTGTTTTGTGCTGAAGTGTGTGTCTGCACTTGGCTCCCTGCCCACCGCTGTGATTTATTCTTTGCCTCCATTAGAAACACGACGCAGACAGGATTCAACACAAACACAACACGACCCCACTTTATAAAATCTGTGTCGGAAGCACCTCACAGTGTGTGTGTGTGTGTGTGTGTGTGTGTGTGTGTGTGTGTGTGTGTGTGTGTGTGTGTGTGTGTGTGTGTGTGTGTGTGTGTAAACTGTTGGTGGAAGCTCTGATTCTCAGTCCTGATGGACGTCAGAGAGGTGAGAGAAGCTGGTGTGTTTCTGAAGCTCCTCTTTCTCTCAGGCTGAGGTCAGCCTGTTCTCTCACTGGTTTGAGTTTTGTGTGTGTGTGTGCGGGTGTGTGTGTGTGTGTGTTGGCTCACTCGAAGAGCTGGAATAACACAAAGCATCTCTGTGATGACAGAATAGCAATCTGATGTGTCAACACAGAGTTTTCAGAAACTGTGATCTTTGAAGGACAAAAAGACCATTTTTATTAGTTTTTTCACCAACACAGAATAAATTATCATTTTGATGAGGAAGGGTTTTTTTCTGCTTGTATTGAAGCTGTCGCCGACATGTTTTTTTTTTTTTTGTTTGTTTAGTTGCTGGTCTGGATGGTTTTTTAGCCACTTTAGAACACTGTTTTGGTGTCCAGTAAAACAGTTAACAAGTTGGGGGTTTAAATTTGAAGAGGTGCAAATAAATAAACTCGTTAAGGAAGATAAATGTATTTGCATTTTACTTGTGTGAAAATGATTCAAACTGTTTAATTGTCTCCTAATATTAGGGAATCTTTTTATTAATTGCATCTCAAAWAAGCTGAGATGTAACATCTAAAGATGTGCTGTTGACAGAGAAAAGACTTGGTGCATTCACAGATAAGGAAACAAATTTGATCTTTTTGTTGTCTCCTAGCTATGCTGCATTCAAGGACCAAATAGAAAAAATAAAATCATATTTTTGAGTTTTGTATTGTCCAGTTATGTRRGAAGTGGATCTCTGCAGTCACTAAAYGGGAGTTTCTTGTTTTGTGAGAGGAGTTTGTCCAASATGTGATCAAWTWGATTTTTGAGGGTGTAGTTTGTTRAAAATGTGATTGGTCAGATTAACTATTTTGGGTGGGATTTGAAGAAGCCAAAACAATTCAGTTGAATGAGCACTGAGAAGCTGGGGGGACATGCAGTTCAGTCGAAACGACCAGAAAGCACCTATATTTTTAAATATAAATATTTGAAGTCATAACTTGAGACAGGAAGGTGCTAACCACATGGAATTTGAAGTCATTAAATTACATTTACATGTTCACAAAACGTTTATGAATTACTATTACTTCATCTTTTAAGTTGAACCACAAGTCAATCCAACCAAACTCTGCCCACCCAAGAACCTTTGCTTATATTCCAAACTCTAGGAGCCAGAAACTCCCCCCTGTACTTCAGAGACCCCTACTTGAGTCATGTTTAATTTAGATTTCTAAGTAACAWTTTGTTCTCTGTGAATAAATGTTTGGAAAGAAGCTCTGAACAACTGTTTGGCACAAAAGTTGGACCTTCATGATTTGAGTCTGTTTTCCAAAAAAATGGGAGCATTTTCTTGGTAGGAAGACAAAGAATTCTGTTAAAACACATTACATAACGGGAACATAATCTGATAAAGCCTAAAATAATCACAGAATGGTTTTAAAACAAGACTACAATCTTAAACATATTTAATAATGCACAGCGTCAGAACATCCCAGCTGAAGGTCCCATCTTTTAAAATCATTTAAAACAAACAAGACAAGCATTCTGTAGAAGTTTAGTGTTTGATACCGCTGGAGCGAATATTTTCTTATTTTTTACTTTAGTTGTTTCTTCATCTGCTTTTCATTATATAATAAAAACATGTGGAACATTTTATTTGTTGTTCACACATTATAAACAKGAATTTATTGCAGTGTTGGTCAATAAAGTTTGTTTTGCAACTTGTGAAACAATCAAATGATGTTTTCTCTTTATTTTTCTCTTTGTTTTGATCTCCAGCTTCTGATACGGAGCAGGATGCTGCAGTGAAACTGGACCAGGAGCGGGCTGATATTGTCGCTAAATATGACAAGGTATTTAAAAAGAAAAAAGATGACTCCTTCTGGTTAGTAAGAAAACAATACTTTATCACTTGTGGTTTTCAGCAGCTGCATTCCAGTCGCTGACTGTGGTCAGTCCCTCCATATATCACCGCCGCCTCATCCCTAAAACACAGTGCAGAATCTGCTGCGTCTCACAAGGCTGTTATTGAGCCACAGTTCAGATGCAGCGCTCTGACTGGCTGCCAGTCAAATTAAACATGTAGAAACACCTTTGATGGTTGACAGAATCGTTACAAATCTGTCCTGCAGGACTCTGACTTTAATCAGAAGGGAGGAGAAAGATGCAGCTAAATGTAAATTAAACTAAGAGAGTTATTATGTCACACATGAAGGGATTTTATTGGCTAAAATCAAGGAGGGTGTAGTTAGTAAAATAAATTAGGCTAAACGTTGCTTTCATCCAGAGATTGTGTTTTAAAGTTATTACAACTTGCTGTTAGCCTTGTATTTATGTTGTGAAAAAGTTTTATAGATGTCTCTAAAACTGAGCCTGCAATAAAATCCCAATTATTCAAGAGTAAAGCAAGGGAATAAGGAGAGATAAAAAGGAATAGTTTCATTTTAACAGATGAGAAAAGTTAAATAAAGTGAAAGAACTGAAATGATGTTAAATTGGCACGAACATGTTTCAGAAGCTGCCCTGCCTTTTAACTCTGAAACTGGCTTCATGTCAACAATCCTCTGTGTC